ATATATATATATCTGTGTGTGTGTGTATACATGACCACCTTCAAATGTAATATCAAAGAAACCCCTTCTCTTTAACATCATTAAATCATTAAAATAAATGCCACGAACAATTTTGAGAAATTTAAGATAATTTTATCCTTCAATTATATGCATTTTTTTATTTCCACTGAATGAATATGATTGATTGATAAGATATTTTCTATAGTTTGAAATGAATTATGCAGTTTCATAATAATTTCTTACTTATATTGGAAAATTTGATTGGTCAAAGTGATTGGTAAACCTTCACTTTTAAAAGACATTTTGATGAATAATTAAATCACTATAGAATTTTTTGAAACTTAAATCATTAAATAATCATAGATCACAATCAATGATGTGATTTTGAGTTTAAAGTTTTATAAAACCATAAATGCAGAAAAAAATTGAAATAAAGTAATCGTTGTCCTTCTAAGAGAAATTTCATCTCTATAATATCCTTTTAGAAGGTTAGGAGCATTTATCATCATACATTGAAATATTGAGAGAAACTGGATTTTAACTTTTTATACCATGACATTGGAACTTGATAAAAGAGTATGATCTACTTTAAATCATAATCATTCAAAATTAGATGAATGATTTAAGAAAGTGTGAGAATAAACATTTACATATATATAAATACTTACAACATTTGTATTTATCTCATCGCCATTAACTTTATTATTTTGTGTGCTACCTTAGGTGTTAACTCAAGCTTATAGAAATCTTTTTGAACAGCCTTTATATGGTTTTTTTTTTCTTTCTATCCCCACAACATTAATTTCACACGCACCACGCTACTTTTCACCATCATATTCTCAATAGCCATCTCTATATTTATAATATCTTCTGATATAAACATTGATCAATTTATCCCTCATAGTTTGCCAAACATTCGTTTTAACACCATTTCATGTTCGTTTATATTAGAAAAATTGCTTATAGATCGATTCTCATCATCTTTTCCATAGAGGTGCTTTTTATTGTTGAGGTAAGACATAAGAATGATTAGATGGCATACAAAATCCAACCGCGCAATTCATGCCTTTTAAGATTTTATTTTTTCTTGAATATGATGAAATGATGAAGTGATCTTAAATTTACTATGTATGCAAATTATTTAGTGATGTTAAAGATGAAGGATGGTGTTGATTTTTCCTTTCAAGACCACAAAAGTTAATTGGGAGGAAAAATAGCATACCCCTCTCAAGGTTATACCAAATGTACGAAGCTCTCATCAATTTGGGTTTAGAGATATTATCTGAATTTATCCTAAGAATCTTCCCAACATTTTTTTTGTACATGTAGAGGTTTATCATCTTCAAACTCAATTTTCATACCACTGATTATGATCATAACATAAAATTACTTATGCATCAATTTTCATAGTATCTAACCATTTATCAAGTATGTCGAAGCATGGATGATTGAATGGCTATCCATTTTAAAAAACTTGTTTAACCAGTTATTTCATTAATCAAAACAATCGGATGCACCCTTGCTGTCATCAACAAGTCATGTTTTAAATGCATGCCATTTGAAAGAATCAGTGATGAAAATTTAAAAGCTTCTACTGTTAGAAGTACAAAAAGTAAACCTTAAGAGGAGCTTTTGCATTATTTTGTCTTTTCAGTATATGTTAGCCATGTATATGATGTTGGTATTAAGAATGTGTTGTGTACTTGTCAGCACAATTTTGGTTGGGGGAGTTGCCCGTAAGAAGCTGTCGGTCACAGGAATCGAAATCCCGTCGCCCGCTTCGGAAGGATGTTTTAATTTACATATAGATTTAAGTTTAGAAAATTATAAAATCAAATTGACCCCATATTTTTCATATTTTAAATAAAAGAGCGTTGTACCTCAAACCCTGTATCTGTCCCGAAGGATAAATGCAAGACTTGAAGATGAGACTCGATCAGATAAACTAAGAAATATATGACGTCCGTTTGGTCTGCGAAACCGTTTTATTTGCCGACAAGTTCCCCTATTTAATATGAATAATTAAATAGAGTTTATATTAAGCTGGGTTCGAAAAAACTTCCTATAAGGGCAAACCCTTAGAGTTAATTATATCTTAAATGACTGAAGTCACCTAAGAAAACTCTCGATAAAAATCAGGAAATATTATCTTCAAAGAAGTTAAAAGGATATGACTTTTCAACGAAATCGGACAAAGAGGTGTGCAAAGGGGAATGGTTCAAACTTGGAATATTTATTATAGAATCTAAAGGAAGAAGAACTAGGGGATGCCACAGTTCCGAAGGAGAACCTCGGTGACTTCCCAGTCTACCCTATGGTTTAGTTTCAGTTTCGAGGAAGAAATATTCAAGTGTTTTATCCTGCCAATTTTATTTACTTAAGACTTACATTCGTGTGAAACGATCACACAAATAGCCTGGAAGATATGAGGATTTAGGTCGTGACGGACAACAACCTCGAAATCCTAAGACGAGTTAGGGTTTAGAATATACAGTAGAGCCGTACAAATGCCTAAAGATAAGTTGAGGATTTATGTCGCATAAGCAAACAACCTCGAAATCCTGTGGATTATTGTTTTAACTT